GGAGAGCCTTCCTTCCTTCCTTCCTTCCTTCCTTCCTTCCTTCCTTCCTTCCTTCCTTCCCTTCTTCCTTCCTTCCTTCCTTTCTTCCTTCCTTCCTTCCCTTCTTCCTTCCTTCCTTCCTTCCCTCCTTCCTTCCTTCCTTCCTTCCTTNCTTCCTTCCTTCCTTCCCTTCTTCCTTCCTTCCTTCCTTCCCTCCTTCCTTCCTTCCTTCCTTCCTTCCTTCCTTCCTTCCTTCCTTCCTTTCTTCCTTCCTTCCTTCCTTCCTCCCTCAGTGCTATGCACATTAGAGTCCTCATCCCCACCCCAGGGGTGCTGCTCCACAGCGGTTAGGGGCAGAGCTCTCTCCGTGGCTCTGAGTTACCTCCGTGGTCATCACTGCACAGCCAGGAAGGCTGGAGTTCCGTTTGCAAGGGCCAAGAATGGCACTGGATGCTACCTCCTGAAGACACAGGGCAGGTGAGAGACCAGGTCCGCCTCCTAACAGGCTCTCACTCTCCCAGCAAGGAGATAAGATCTACACACCAGCATCCCACCAGGGCAGAGGGAAGCGCTGGGACTAAAAATAAGAAAAAGGCAGTGGAGCCCTCTGCTTTGGCAGGGAGAAGAAAGTAGATGGAGGAACTAAAGCAGAAACCTGAAGGGGGAGAGTAAAAATAGACACCATATCATGTATCTTTCAACCCAATGTGGTCAGAGAGAGAAAGAAGCAACTGCACATCCCGGAGCCAGGCTTCCCTAGTCTGCGCCTGTCATCAGCCAACAGTCTTACAGGACCTGCACTTCGAGAGCCCCAGGGTCCGGTCAGAACAACATGGCAAAACTAACCACCAAGTTTTGCCGTTGCTCTGACATCCTGAAAGTGTGTCCTGTGGGGCAGGTTCTGTGACTGAACGCCTGCCCCACAGACCTCTCCATCCCTGGGGTGTGGGCAGTAGTAAGAATATTACTAGCATAAGTCAGGACAAAGGGCCTCAGAAACATTGTCCTAGCTCATCAGGATCTTCTGGTCACTCCGTACTCCAGAAGAACAGCAACGACTAAGAAGGACTAAGGTCCCAGGGAAAGAAGACATTTAGAACTAAAACTCACTCTCTCCCACAGTGGAGTACAGGGCATTCTAGCTCCCCTCCAGCACCCAGCACAAAAAGCCTGGCACACAGGCTGCGTCCCCAAGGTCCATGAGCTGGAACACTGTATCTCTGTAAAAGGCACTGCATAAAACCCAGGAGTGGCTGACCTTAAACTGAGGCACTACATCCATTTCCTACAAAGACAAACCAAAACACTCACACCAGGAGAGAAACAATGAAAACCAAAATAATGGCAGCCTCCACTGGATGAAGCGGGTACGGCACTCGGCAGCCTACAACAAGCACCACACCTTAACCACACTCGGCAGCCTACAACAAGCACCACACCTTAACCACACTAGGCAGCATACAACAAGCACCACACCTTAACCACACTCTGCAGCTCTCACTGCACAGGTCTGAGCACACTTAAGCAAAACAAAAGCAGTTGCAAAAGGGATTCCCAAAAACGGATGCTACGCCACTGAATTTTGTACGCTGCAAGGAAAAGTGAGCTAATGGCCCCCTTTCTGTGCATAGATCCACATACTGCCTAAGTTACACAAAGAACCCTAACATTTGAAAAACTGGGGTGCCATTAAAACCATTATTTTGAATATCAGTGTGGACATGCAGGCTACCTTCCTCCTGTAACCAAAACAACTAAATTTAACTTGGCCAGGAACTGCAACTGATAACCAGATAATTACAAAGCACAGGCTATGTCTGGGTAGACTTGAACAGAGAGCCATCCAAACCTTGACCAAAGTGCTAGATTAAATCATAACATAAGACATTCTGGAGAGGGATTTAGCCAGTGGGTATATCTCCTACTGGCAAATATAATACAAAGCATACAACAACTCTCACCTCCAACTCCCTAGCAAGAAGCACATGGCTTTACCCTGTAGGCACTTCTGTGGGAACCAGTGGGGAGCAGGGAGAGGACACAAGCTGATTTCTTTCATCTTTAATGCCAATTAAGCATTATCCTTACTTTTGTTGAAGAATAAAATTTCACATTTGGGGCAAAGAGAGAGAAACGGCTGCCACTGGGAATTATAAATCAACTCAGTAAGTAATGTCCACGATAAAACCCCGGCCTGGAGAAGCGGCACAAGTCCACCTGTCCTAAAGGGAGGCACCTGAAAGCATATCCGCCCAAGTCCTTAGGGACCGCGACAAGTCATAACCCAGCCAGGACGCCAATCAATGTTTATGGACGCTGCATTCTGAGATGACCACGTATCATTGCTGTACGGTGCTGTTTCCTAAACAAAAATACTGGTCACAGGAGGGTTTTAATTGCAGGTGCCTTGGCCTCGACATCCAGTTTCAAGTCTAAAATGGAGGTCTGCTTCTTCAAGGAAGTACAGAAAGAAAGCAATGTCTTTTAAAGCAACATCGGTCTTCCACAGCTCACAGGATTTCCCTCTCTTACAGTCACTTAACCAGGGACAATCATATTCATTGTACTGATTTCAACAGTATTTTAAATTAAGGCGCAAGAAGAGTTCATTCCATCTTTTTGGAAAGTCACATGTAAGAAGATAGAAGATGTGGACTCAAATTAGTTCTCAGTACCTCCGGGCTAGTATGCAGCAGGGGTCCTAGCAGCCTTCCAAGAAAGCACTGATTGTCTTGCCTACCCGGCTTGAAGTGTGAGGATGGAAAGAGACAGCAAGCGCCTTAAAGTGCCAGGGAAACTTTGTAAATACTGTGAGCTTTGGAGACAGGAGCCGCAGTCTGAAAGGCTCATAGCGGCCACCATTCCCTGCTGTTGGACGTTCCAGCATAACTTCTGAAAAGAGACTTTCCTTATAGGAAAAAAACACAGCAAAGTAAGAGTAACAGGCTTTCATATAAGCAATAAGAGGGTGGCTATTGGATTTCCGATGAAATTTTGCCAACAATCGCCTGAATGCTGACTTCAGACCTGACGTTTTTAAAGAGGCACTTGTAACGTTGGAGTTACATAAGAGACCATAATTAATATTTTAAATGACAGAGCACTGTGTTCTGGGTATCGGCCTCCATCTCAAGCCATGTAAAAATGCCCAGTAGCAAGAGCATCCTAGCAGTAGGCTTCCTTCTCGGGTAAGAAACGTCCAACAATCACACGCCGGGTGAAAAGCAAGGCAACCAAGTTCAACACCAAACAAGCCCTAAATGACAAGCCCTCCCCAGTATCTGGTTCAGGAAATGGAGTCCTTATTAACACTAGTAGACGCAGGAACCGAGAGAATTGTGAACATCATAACAGCACGAGGCTATGACAACACAGCACGGAAAATAATCCTGACTTTAAAAAATAGCTCATTGGCTTTTAAAGCACGTTTCCCTAATTGAGCACAACCCTGGTTTGACTTTGTTTCTTCACTAGGAGAAATGTACTTGGTCTCACAGTCCAGACCATTTCTACTCCACTGATCTCACACAATGTACAAAGAAATTTCTTACAGAGATGAGAGCCCAGCAGGCAGCAAAAGATATATGTAAATCATAAAAGAGTGGAGTACAAACCTAACGGCAGGAATCTAACTACAAAACTGTTCAGAAGGACCAGGCAGTAAAACTTAAATTCTTTTTCTCTAATTTAGGAGTGAATGCCCGCTCTTTCACAAGCCTGTTAGATTAAAAAAAAAAAAATCAAAATAAGCATGCCATTAATGGGAGAGGCTTGTAAACGTATTTCTATTCAACAATTCAAAAGAAGCTTAAATTCGTGGAGATGGGAAGTCTCTCCAACAAGCCCACCAGGCGACAACCAACTGTCTACAAGAGGCAAGTAGCAGAGGTCGTGGCTCTAAAACACAGGAATCTACACACAAACAGAATATGTCTGCCTCATCTTTCTCAACAATAAGAGTAAGGGCCAGCATTGAGAGATCACACCCGTAACTAGGAAGCACACACTGCACAGAGCGATTCATAAAATAGTTACATTATCTGGCCAGATAATGTCTCTGTCCTGTCCCTGAAAATAGAAAAAAAGGGAAAAAAGGAAGAAGAAATAAAAAGAAGGCCAGAGGTTCCCTTGCCCACCTTCCTCGGAAACACATATGCTGGACCCGGGTGTAGGAGACAGATCCGGGGAAGACGGGCTTCGTTTACCTTCCATCCCAGCAGATGATTCAGGAAGCCAAAGGAGAAGTAAGCCTGAAGAATACTGTTCTGGGTAGGCGTGCCTCCATAAACCCCAGTGTCCCTGTCCTTGGCACTTTCCGGCTCCTTTCCCACCCGCGCTGGTTGGGGGAGTGAAAAATGGCACAGGCGGGTGGTTCCGTTGGCAATGTGCTCAACCCCAAGCCTGCCACCAATGAGGGTCACCCGCCCAGCTTGTCTCGAAGAGAGAAAGGGCGAACAAGAACGGGTTCTCTGGCGGGCCTCCTCTCCCAAACTGAGTCCTCCAAGGGCCGCCTGATTGCCAGCCTGGCATGAGTGCCCGCCCCCAGGAACGGCAAACTGCCCAGCCCGTGGTTGCCTGGGCACACACAGAAGAACGTGGGAGAAGGGCTGGGCTCCTCCTTCGGAGCCGCCGGGGTCCTCCCCTCTTTCTTGTTCGGAGGATCTGACCCTAAACCTCTTCCAAGGTCCCCAAACTTCACTAACAACCCAAGCACCTGTTCCCTTCACCTCCTGCGCAGCCAATCCGCTCAAGCCCATCTATTTCCCCACAGTGCCTTCTTCCAGTTCCTTGGACACCCCAAACACTCCAGGTCCCGGGGCGCCCCATTCTCCCTGTCCATTTGTCTCGTCCAGTGTCGGTCCAGGCCCAGGACCCTGGACACTCGCTGTGTTTCGCCCAGAAGTTTCCCCTGGGCCCCCAGGGTCCCCACGGCTGCGCTTCTAGTCCGGGGCAGATGCCCGGCCTCCTCCCTCCTCCCGGGAGCCAGCTGCGCGGGTGCCGTTAACGGCCGGCGCGCTCACCTCGGTTCACCAGGCGCAGGGCGTGCGTGAAGGAGGGGTCCAGAGAGTCCTTCTCCGCCATCAGCTCCGGCAGGTACTTCTCCTCCATGCTCGCCGGCCGCCGGGCCCGCTTCTCCGCCCCGCGGCGCGCGCGCGCCAGCCGCCCCGCAGCCCGAGCCGCCCGCCCCCGGCGGCGCGGACCCCGCCAGGCGCCTCGGCGGCTAAGCCGGGCGGGCGGCCGGGCGGCGGCGGCGGCTCGGGGCGGGCGGCGGCCGCTCAGCCCGGCCCCGTGGAGCCCCAGATCACCGCGCTACGGGCCGCGGAGTGCACGGCGACGGGATGAGCGAAAGGAGCGGGCCGGGAAGCCGAGGAGCGCCGGTCCGGCTCGCCTGCCAGCCGCTCGGAAGCCCGAGCTCTGCCGCGATCCGCCCCGCGCGCCGCCCCGCGCGCTCTGAGCCGCCGCGCACTGCCCAGCGCCCTCCCCGCCCCGCCCGCCGCGCCTGCGCGATGAGCTGACCGCCCGGCGCGCGCCGCCTCGTGGGGGCACTAGGACTGCGCGGCCCCGCGGCGGGCATGTCGTGGAGGGGCGTCCGGTGCCCAGGCCCCGGGTCTTCCACCCCGGGCTCCCCGGCAAGCATCTCTAAGCTGTCCATCATTGCCTTGTATGTGCACAGACTGGGAAACTGAGGCTCACAGGTCAAGTGGCGCACCCAAGGTCACCAGTTCTTGGGGAGAAGGGGCAAGGGCAGAGCCTGTGGACCCCGGGTTCATCAGGCCCGGATCTGGGAAGAGGCGATGCGACCAGGTGCCTCATTCTCAAAAGCTCCGCGGACTTGCCTAACTTAGGTCTCCTTTGCTGTCCGCTGGTATTTGTACGAAAATAACGCCGGGCCTGGCTTGGAATGTCAGTCTCCTGAGACCCTTGGCGCAGAGGTCGGTTACATAAAAGCGCCTGTCCTTCAGACTGTCTTTGTCTTCCAAGACTTACTCCGGGTTGCGCTTCTCCTTAGCCATAAACATGCAGGTGCCTGGACATGGATGAGTTAATCTCTCAAAATTGTCCCCAGGAGGGAACCTACCACACCTCACTTGGGTGGTGATGTCTCCTAACCGCCCAACCAAACCCCAGCAAATGCTCTCCCAAGCCCCTTGCAGAGCCCTTAAAGTGTGTGGAATAAATGTCCTACGTCAGGCCAAGGACTCCAGAGTCCTTGTTCAGACTCTCCTTTAGCCCCACCTCAAGTCCTGACCTCGGGATAGTCCCTTTACAACCCTCAAGACTTCCCCAAGAAAAACAAAACAAAAAACGAATCGCTTCATTTTCTTCTCCCTGTGTTTTGAAACCATTCACGAAACTGCTACTCTCCTTGCATTAGCCCAGTACTATCCCAGGGCACAGCAAGTTTTGTCTGAGAGAGGGGTCTCCAACGCCTGGTGCCTAGGATGGATGTGGGGAGGACCCCGGCAAATGTTGCTGAAGGAATCCTCCAAACACCTGATCCCTTGTTAGGTGCAGCCCGAGAGTCCCCTGCCACAGTGTCCCCGTGGACCTCTGTAGTCAAAGCTGTCAGGAGGCAGTGACATGAAATGGTCACTAGTTTATGGCCTTTAACAAAGTTATGTCACTTGTGTCTCAGTTTCCTCATCTGTCAAGTGGAGATGGGCAGAGGTTATTTTATAGAGAGCTCATGAGGATTTGCTATTTTACAAGGACCCAGCACAAAGAGGAAAGCCGGGCTGTTCTGTGGCGGGCTGCCTTGCATGGCTACTCTCTGAAACAGACGCTTTGAAAGGCAGCAGGCAGACACCATCTGTGTGGTCCTCGCTTCTGGACGCAGAGCACAACCTCAGCAGAGTAGCCTGGAATCCAAATGGTAGACCCTACTTCTGCCCCTGAGCCGCAACCTGGTCTGGTCAGGCTGTGTGCCCCAACTCTGAGCCTCGCATCTGTGCCTCCAATATCTCGATAATGCCAGCAGTCCCTCAGGGCAGTGCGGGGTTCTTGAGGAAAAGTTTTCTCCTTTTACATCTAAATGGAAACACATGCCTCTTGCTTGTCTTTTTTCCTCCCTGGACCAATTCAAATTCCAGTGGTTTTCTCAGACCCACTAAGGAAAAAGGGGAGTGGACCGAGTGCCTGGTGAAAGAGTGATTCTTGTCCTGTGTCTTTCATCGTCTGCCTCAGGAGTAGTCTAAAACTTCACTGACGATTATCTTTATTAAGCATTTACTAATTATCTTTGCTAAGCCTTTATTAAGTGCCAGGCTACCCTGGCAGCTTTACACACAGTCCTCTTGATACGTGCAGCAAAGATTCCGCTCGTTACCATTTACTCGGCAAGCTATCTCTCAGGCTGAATAACTTCATACTCTGCCTGCTGCCCCAACGCTGTCCTTCTGAGCTTCCAGGTCCTCCTGTTCTAAACCTTCCCCACTCCCACCTTCCCAGATAGTGATTTGAGATGCGTGAGATAGGTCTGTGTTCCAGCCTCTCTGGAGCATTTGGCAGAGATGCCCTGCCAGCAGCTGGGGAGGAGGACTACGCACCATGAAGCTGATGGCAGAGATGCCGGAGCGTCTGCTCAGGACCCTCCTCCTCACAGAGCCTTCCAAGAGGGCAGGTGCCCAGCACTGTGATTGCCCATGCCCGATCCTCCAGGGACGAAGACTGATGTTCCTATAAGAGGATCAGAAAACTGTTCCCACCCACCAGTCTGGATGGACCAGAAGAGCCACTGTGGGGCACCTCCACTCCATGTCTTGCTGTATACTCTGCTGTTCTTCCCAGAACCCACCATCCTGCAGTCCCCAGTTTTCAAGTTGTATAGAAAAAAAAAAAGTCTTAGGTCTTGGGAAAAGTTGAGGCTTTCATGCAAACATATGCAGGCAGTGATTACATTCAGCTCTGTGGGCTTCTAGGCCAGAGATCTTTCCAGAATACTCTGGTTCTCACCAGGCACAGACTGTGTGCTGAGACTGCTCTGGATTTAGAGGACATAGCATAGCAAAAGGGGCCCTCTCCCAAGGCACCTCATGGCAAGGTCACCACACCACTGCAGACCTTGCCCAAGGCTCCACAGTTTCCGTCCACCTCTCTGGGTGTCCCTCTACCGATGTAAGAAAGAGGGGGGCTGCCTTTTCCTCAGATCTAGGCCAGGGACTTGCCTCTCAGCCCCTGAGAAGCAAGGAGTACTTCCCAAGTCGACCTTACCCACCATTCCAGAGGAAGCACAGCCAGTCTCTGCAACCCCGGCAGGTGGGGTGGCTGTCCATTCATAACCTCCACCTAAGGAGAGACAGGTGACATTAACTCCAGTGAGTCAGATATGGCTGTGGAGCCTGGCACCATCAGCGCATGCACCAGTCACAGGCTCTGTGTCTATGAGACAGTTTCCTTATACGAAAGGATTGCTGCCCACACTACAGACTTCTCTGTCTGCTTGTTTAAGAGGGGTGAGCCTTATGTTGCATTCTCCTGGGTAGAGATGTCTAAATCAGGTTTCAATCTGCCCCCCCCAATTCATCTTGCTCACTAGCTACCAGTCTTGCACCAGCACTCACAATCTCTGAGCACAGGGCACAGGTGATGCCCAGTGTGCAGGGTCAAACCTCACTAACCTGTTCATAGACACAGTGTTAATGACTCCTGGCTCTTCCTCCTCTCCCCACAAGGACTCCTTATTTACGCTCTTGTTCACAATTAGCACACCGAGTCTTTATCTTCTGTGTCCTTGGAGCCCGCTCAGCTCCCTACCCCAGTATCTGGTCAAGCGGTCAGTTCCCTGCAAGCAGTCTTTTATGCAGGAGACATTCCCCCTAAAAAAAAAAAAAAAAAAAAAAAACAGTTCTGGAACACGCCACTGCTACTCAGATCTTTGAGACAGTGGCTTTGTCATATAAGGAGGGCACCAAAAGATGGCACAGCCTCGCCTAGAAACCCATCATCAGCACGTTACAGCGAAAGACACCAAGGAGAGCCACTGTGGCCTCTGACTCCAGTTGTTGCCACAGAAAACGGGTCCCCAAAGCTGGGGCTATGACTGAAAGGGTTGAATGCAGCCCTGGAAGGGTAGGAGAAACTTGGCAGTCAGGAACCCTCAGATTAGGAGTGACTCTGAGGTCGGACATACTCGGTGCATAGGGTAGCTAGCAGGAAGTTCAGATTAAGATAGTGTGACTAAGAAAGTTGGTATAGCCCAGAAACTGGAAGGAGAACTGGAAACATGTACTCATATGCACACGCATACATGTGAGTATACACATGCCACATGCAAGCGTCAGTGCACACACACGCAGGCATATATGTGCACGTGTGCACTTACACTCAATCTGTCATCTCTATTCCACCCAGTCTAAACACAGGAAAAATCATGTCTTCCAGCCCAGCCACACATACTTGGAGACAGCTAGCCTGCTGGCTCTGCATCCACATGCTTTGCAAAGCCCCTTTCTGTCTGGTAGACGGCAAGCCCAGGTCCCCTTGCGCATTTCCTTTTACTACAGCAGAAGCCACCTGACTTCTTTTCCAGTAGGAAAGACGCCACAGATATTGCGCACACGCCCCCTCGTGGCTACATTTGGAAGCACATGCCCGCAGAAGTGTGAGAGTCACTCTGGTTTTGCCAGGTCCCCACTGAAAAAGAACTCCAGGGAGGACTGTAATGTCAGCCCGAGAAGAAAAAAAAAGAGGAACTGTGATTCTAATGTGAAGAAAACGAAAGGGGAAGAAGGCAGTGAAAATGAGGTTAAGAAAAGGAAAAGAGAAATCACGGGAGAGGGCAGAACAAAGGAAGAAAAGGAACAATCCGTAGTAAAGCAGAGAAACCAGAGGACGGGGAAGCCTTGCTGTCTTCAAAGGTAGTCACACAAAGGAAAAAGAATGAACATGTCCAGGGTCAGTCCTATGACAGACAGATGTGTGCAGACAAGCCGGGCAGGAAAAGGGGACAGGGAGCCCCATATTTGACCCCATCAGGACCTGCCTAGGCGTTCTTTCCAGATTCCAAATCCTCCTGTCTCTATTTCTAAGCCTGGAAAGTGTAGAAGTAACAGCTGTTTCCTTCCTATTTTACTGAGATCCGATGAGACCAATAAAGACTTGCAGAGAAGACCCTGGAAATTGCAGTGCATTCTCTGATCCAGCCATTGTGGAGATGTGTTTTATTATTTTCCTTGATGTGAAAGCCACCCCACACCCCTCAGACAATGTTCTAAAAGGGTGGTATGTGCTGTGGGAATGCGCCAAGTCATCACCAGCTCTGGTGCTTTGTAAGATGCTGTGATTTGAAAAGCATGGCTGAAATGTAAAACATTATTGCCGCTGTAGTAAAACCTTCCATGTCCATCTCCTAGCCCACTATTTCTCGTCAGCCTATATAAAGAGACACACAAAGCAATTCTGTCTACGTTAGAAGGTAATTTTTTTGTGAGTGGGAGGAGT